CTATCAGGTTGATGGCCTAACTAGTGCTGACCAGGTGACTCCTGCTGGTTTAAAGTTTTATTTCTGAGAGAGGCCTACAATTAAGAGGACTCAATTAAGTTGAGTCCAGTTTGTGACGTGGGATCTTTGCATAAGCAACTCCACTGGGGGCCTGTTGTCCTGTTTTTAACAAGCTCTGAAGCTAAACTCAGACAGTAGAATTGAGGCCAAAAAAAAAAGTGCGGACATCATCTCTTTGTATTTGTCGTGGCAATTTGCATGGAACTTCCAGAGAAGAAAAGTGAAAATAGGCTTAGCTCAAAAGACTGAGGTTGCAGGAAATTCAGAATGTTTTGCATCCATTAGTGATTAGTCAATCAAACAATAGTCACATATAACCTTGCGGAGCTCTTTGGAGATAGTTTTACCATTTAATCAGTAGACAAAGCAACTGCAACTAGTCTCTTCCCTTCTACTAACCCTCCATCCTGCTGTCATGGGTCTTGCTCTTTCTGCCTCATTTTGGTTTCTATGTCATCTCTGCTACCCTCTTCGCCTATCCTCCAAACCAGCCCTTCAGGGCCCACTCTGGTGCCTTCAGTTCCATGATATCTTCTCAGACCAATCCACCATCTTCTAAAATCCTTTCGTGACTAATGTATATTTTCCGCATTTGGCCTTTACCATGTTCCCAATTATTTTCCAGCAGAGTTCTATTTGTGTCTCTTTTCCCAGATGTGCTACAGGCTTACTAAGGGCTCCTGTTTCCTTAAGCCTTACACGGCACATACATAACTTGCTCTGTATTGTGTTTAATTACAATTAACATGTCAATTATCATATATGAATCAGAGCCTTTAAAGTAATAGAAGACATTTGGAAACAGTTCTCTGAAGCATTTTTAATCTTCCTCTGAAATCTTAACTATGTCATTAGTTTATGTTCTCCAGGAGAAAATTTGCTGAGTATCTGTAAGTTATTCCTAGTACTAGTCTGAATGATTACTAATTCTAAAATGATTGACAGAGATTTACTGTCGCCAATGCTTGTGTACAGAATACAGTAATAACAAATTAATCTCTTCATAAAGATTAATACATTAATTACTAATGATCATCCTGCCCAATGCATGCAGTATGGATATGCTTATTCATGATAATGTGGGCAAAATCATTGGATGTTTTATGGGGTACAAAGAATTGAATGCACTTTTTAAATGTCATTTGCCCCCGTTTTGTTTTGTTCTGTTGTGTTTCACGACAGGCCTGTACAACTCGCCCTACAGTGCTCAGTCCCATCCTGCTGCGAAGACCCAGACCTACAGACCCCTCTCCAAAAGCCACTCGGACAACGGCACGGACACTTTTAAGGATGCCGCTCCCCCAGCCCCTCCCCCCCATGTTCCTCCTCCAGTCCCACCACTTCGACCCAGAGATCGGTCTTCAACAGAGAAGTAAGGCATTTCCCCCCAAAGTGGCCTACATTTATTTAGCTTAGTATAAAAATAAGGCCGCATGGCATTCAGTAAAAGAATTGGTGGAGATAGTATATGTATAATCTTCAGTCAATACAGGCAGTCCTCAGGTTACGTCGGACTCCACGTACTTCATTTCATGGTTACGTTTCCATCTCCCATGTATTTATTAAAAAAAAAAAAAAAAAGTTCTGTCATTTCGACGTATGTACATATGTGCTTTATGTTTTTTATTATTTATTTACCACAAGTAAAGGTCAGGAATTGTTATCTTTCTTTCAAATTTTTTTTACTGTTTCACTTCATTACTGCTGTGTATGTGCTTCATGTGAGTGACGTAGGTGCTTATGTAGGTGGGTTCCGACTTACGGCGAAAATCATGTTACGTGGCGCCGTAGGAACAAATCTCTGATGTAACCCGAGGACCTACCGTACATGTACCTCATTGACCCCCTCTATTGAGATTATAGTGAACACCTTTGCAAGTTTGGTTCATAATATTATAGTGACCTAAGTTAGACCCGGCATAACATGGGCACTTTTTTATTTTTTTAAATGTATAGAAGAAGACAAATAAAAAGAAATCATTGACATAGTCTTTTTGGCATAGCACCCCAGAGACTACGCAGTTCATTTTCAGTTTCCTCAGATTTGAAATGTTAGGTCTATTAATTATTTAAAATTCCCCTCTGATACACAAAAATATATCTTTGAAAGCAGGAAAATTATTCATGAATCATAAATAAGTCATTAGTTAATAAGTGTCTACCGGTGACTCATTTCACCAGTTTTTCAAGATGATACTAATTTTCATTTCCCCACAGATATGTTTTGATAGAAACTATCATCACAAAAATAAAAATTTATAAGCAAACTTTTATGGCATCACTTAAGAATTAAGATTATGACTAATAATCCAATTATAAGTGACCTTTATTGAGAGTATGCTATGAGTCCAGCACTAGGCAAAGTACTTTTTCTCTATTATATCATTTAATTCTGAGAACCCAATGAGATAAGGTTTATTTTAAACCCATTTTAGAGAGAAAGACACTGTGATTTAGAAAATTGAAACAACTTGCTCAACTCATACAGCAGAGTTCAAACTCACCTCTGACTGAAATCATGGCTCATGTTATACCAGCAGTTAATAAATAAGGATATAATAATTATTCAGTGTTAATACCGATTATTAAGCATTCACCTACCATACCCATTTCAAAACTATTATATTCAACACTGCATGGTATCATTAAGAGTAACTGATGATTGTATAGGGTATAAGATACCACGACAAAGGACACACTTCATATGTGAGAAGATTCCCATTTTACCAGTCTTCTCATGATGGATTTTATGTTTAGAAAGGTGATGTCTTAAATTTGATAAATAACTGTCTAGACATAAATGGTATCTCTGCCATAACACAGAACCAAAATTAACTCAGAATTAAATGTATTATTTGTTCTATGTGTTTAGTAAAAATAAATCTCTCATTAAGAAATATGCGAATCTCTTAAAAATTTCAAAAACACCTCTGCTGGATATTATTCCCCAATGTACCAGAACGCCAGCACTGCCCCTAATTCTCCTGTCCCTAAGGTGTTTCTATTTCCAGCATGCCATGGAGTCAGAATTCCATCCATTCCAGGGGTCAGCCTTGCCCCACCTAAAGCCAGGAAACTCCTCTTCCCCTGGAAGCCTTCAGCACCAGCTACCTAAAAAGCTTTGTTTTTGAAGTCCCTCTGTGGCCGCCCCTCAGTGGACATTAGTTCAGGAAAAGGCTGGCTCCGGGGCCTCCCAGGGGATGGGATGGATGCCTGACTCTGGTTTTACAAGGGTAACACAAGGGAGGATCCCGGCCCACAGCTGGCTCCTGTGGGCGGCAACCCAAGTGGTCCTTTGGTACTTTCCACAAACCATGATGCCCTTTGAACAAGATCCAACATGGCGTGTGCATTACTCCTTGTCACTTTGAGTCAAGGACGCCAGGTCAGAGTGGCGGGAAAACTCACAGCGCGTCATGGAGCCTCAGCACCACTTATTCCCAACACAGACGTGCACAGCTGCCGTGGCGTCCGCCCTAAGGGTTCACAGCAGCTCCCCGGCCACGTGCCTCCTCATCCTTGTGTGAGTGTGTGAGCCAGCAGGAGGGTCATATCAATGTATGAAAGAAATTAAAAAAAGAAAAAACAGAGGAAAACATAATACAAAATAAAAGAAATGACTTTCTCTAAGTCATTTATGTAAAACAAAACATAAATGTGGTGTTTGGGACAGATTAGTTTTGATCCTATGAGACTTTTTTTAAAAACCTACACGAAAATTAACTTTGAAAACAGCGAGTGGATAGATACGACTGCTTTGAGCCTAGGGAATCGTTTTCACGTGTAACTTGTTGGTTCTTTCCAGGCATGACTGGGACCCTCCAGACAGAAAGGTGGACACGAGGAGGTTTCGTTCTGAGCCCAGGAGCATTTTTGAATATGAACCGGGGAAGTCGTCGATCCTGCAGCATGAACGACCAGTAAGCACTTGTCCCGAAACACGGTGCCAGTTCTCTAGGCTCCCTGGGCTCTTAAGTAAACCCACATTTCATATCATTTAGCAATTTTTGTCGCAAAGGGGATTAACTTGGCATTATTTAGAAATCACGTTTATTCTGAATCATGTTTTGTGCATCTCGTCTCGGAATTGAAGATGCAGTTTCTAATATGTATCGTTCCTACCAATCAAATATAGGATGTAACTATATTTGCATGTAACTATAGCCATATCTAATCATAGCTCTGAGTTTAATTGGGGGAAAAAAGAACACTTATAAATGCAACACTTAATCGCTAGTCTACATCGCTAATGAGGAAAATCATTCATTAATCTCTTTGATACAAATGCACCCAGTCAGTACGTCCCTTCGTTTCTACATAGATTTGTTATTATTTCTCGGGCTTCGGGGGACATTTTCCGAATGTCTTTTTATAACAAGTTGGTCTTAATGGATTCTTATTAAATCTCTCTCAGGTTACCGAGCCTCGAGCTGCCTGATTGTCCATCTAATGGATCAAGATTAAACTTTGCAGTATTTTATGATTATCTATTTAAATCCTATGCAAACAAAAAGCTATAGGAGGTGGAAAGTAACCATTTGCTTCTCCAAAGTGCAATTAACAAACAGGCTCTTGCTTGGCCCTCCTGGTGTTTAGGTCCCCGTCTTCCTTTCTGCCCTGTTTTCCCTCCTTGGTCGGTGCCCTCGGGATTCTCTGGAACTGTCATTCCTCTGCATCTCTGTCCCAGTCTGCTTTGAAGGAAAAAGTTGATGTCATTTGCAATTTACTCTCTGCCTTGTCTTGTCTTGTCTTAAAAGAATTTAGGTGTCAGTGAACAGGAGAGAGTTTTCTTTGGTAGCTCCTTTAAGAGTATCCAAGAAACTACATTATCATATTGAATGCAAGGCCAGCTCTGAAATTTGATTGGAAACCCTGGCCTCACCACACCCAAGTTGAATGTCCTTGATTTCGTTTTTGAAGCCCTGTATTTATGGTTATGTTCTTGAGAAACATGTCCAAGAACCTCATAATCACATAATTCATATGTGATGTTTATCTAAGCCTTTTTTTTGTCATTCTACAAATAACTCATATCTTTCAAAGTAACAGAATTTTAACAGAAAAACTGAAAAAAGGGAACATGCCTGAGTTGCAAGCTCCACTGTAAATTTATACCCCACTTACTAGGTTATGTGATTGAATTTTGTCATTTCTAGGATGAGAATTGAGTGAATCATGAGGTCACCATTGCATAAAATTGAAAATAGCAAAATGTCTCAGATTTAAGTGTCAATACCAAAACTTTAATGATCATTCTAACAATTTATGATACTCTTAGGATGATGCGCATTGTAACTGTATTGAAATGTTTTGATGGCTGTGGCGTCAGGGAAAAGGATATTTCTACTATTGACTCACTGAACAAAATACTGAGCACCAACTATGTGCCAGACATTGTATGAGGTGCTGGGGACACAATAGTGAACAATAGAGGAACCTTGAGGCTTTCATTTAATGGAGGTTCAGGGTAGACTTGCATTTGTGTGAAATAGACCACCTGCTAGCGGGTTAAAACAGGCACACCTAAGGAATCCTCCCCCTGCCCCCTTAGCAGCTCATTCATGGGCCCTGCCACTGTGACTGAAATGCCCACGTTACTCGTATCTTTGGGCTCAATAACAACAGTAACAACAAAAACTATAGCAATAGTTGTAGATCCTTAGTGAGTACTTACTATGTGCCAGGCCCTGTAATTAGTAACTTATTCCTTATCTCATGTAATGATCCGAACAACCTATGAAGTAGGCACATGGCAGATGAAGGACTGAAGCACACAGTCAGTAACTCTGTCCGGGTCAGGCTGCTGAAGGGTATTCGGACCACGCGTGAGCCCAGACTCACGCATGCCTGGCGCACTCAATCACCACTACACGGAGGCACCAGGAAGATTAGCTGAGTAGGAAACATATTCAGCTAGTAGTCATTAGCATCTCAATGGATTTGATGATTCGATTCTTTTGCAGTCTAGCATACTTTATTTGCCAACTTCTAATACATCAGTGCACTTGATTGATTTAACCAGGAACCTGGGCCCTGAGTTAAGACGCAAGACGCGTGTTTTTTTTAACTGTCCCTCGGATCAAAAAGATCTGGCCTCCCTGAGTCAGAAAAGAAAAGGGGGCGGGGGCTAAGTTTCTGGTGGTGGTGCAGACACTGGCTGTATGTTGATACCGTTTGCATGGGCGCTGGAGTGTCTTGAGCACACAGGTGTGGAGGACGAGCAGCAGGTTTGCTAGGTGAGGGTGATGTCTTAGCAAATGGGCGACACCGAAGGATTTCCAGAAGTTCTGAATGCACTCGCAGGTCATGTTACTCCAAGGTGGCGTGTGAGCAGAGCGCTGGCTCTTTTAATATTTAACTTTATGTAAATTATAAATAGCTAGGTAATTCTCCGCTGCCCTTTTCAATTCTGAGATGACTCCATCATCTGCCCAGTTTTCCCAACTGTCATCTTGGATTCCCCTCTCCCCCAGGGATCCCAAAGTCCTATCCCCAGGAGAACTGTCACTGCCCCTCCGCCTGCTCCTCCACCGCCCATGCCAGGATTGCAAGGACAGCCACCTGATTCGTTCCCTAATTCTCCAGTCTTTATAAAATCTCCTGCTCAAAACTCTCTCTGGCTCTCAAGTAACTTTAGAGCAAAATCCAAATTCCTTCTATAATTTCCAAAAAACCTGATGCATTGGCCCCACTAACCTCTCCAGCCTCATCCCTCTTCCTGCCCTTCCTGCCTCACTCACTCTGTTCCAGCTCTTCCCTACCAGACCTTTGCACAGGCTGTTCCCTCGGCCAGGAAAGCTCTATCCACCACCTGCTCTTCACATGGAAAAGCCTCATCTCACTTCCCCAGGGCACCATCCCGGACTCCTCAACTGTAGGTGCAAAGAGCCCCCTGCTGTGAGCCTGGGGCGTTTCCCCCTCACTCACCACACTGAATTGTAATGGTCTCTGGTCTGTGTCCCTCACTAGACTTTAAGCTCCTTGAAGGCAGGGACCATGTCTGGTGCACCCGTTGTATCCCCAGCACTTAGCACGATGCCTGGCACAGAGTAGGTGTTAAGTGAATACTGGTTGAATTAAAAAGTGAATGAATGAATATAGGTTTTGCCCTTGCTGTGAGTGGGCAAGTTGGTGAGGCTGAATCCTTGTTCTGTTGCTTATCTGCGCAGTCTGCAGATCTGGTGACAAAAAGGCACAGTGTTTTCCATCAAAACTCACATGAGAGGTTCGATGCACTGCTATTAGTCATTGTGGTCCACTAATTTCACAGATCCCTGGTGCAGGGCATAGCAGGGCAGGACTGTGTAAATGAAGGTCCTTCCCCAGACTCTGGCCTAAAGGAACCCCTTCTTCCTTAGAAATACATAGAATATGCATTTATGTTCTTCAACACGAAAGTTAAAGTGAATGCAATTTTTTAAAGTGCGTAGATGTTCATTCGACTATAAGTTTAGAAATGCTGATTAAATGGGCCAATGTTTGATCTCGAAAAGTACTTTGCAATCACCAGGAATCTAACTTTAACTGACTTGAACCACAATTTACTCCATAAGACAGTCATACAAATTCTTTACTGGGATTATAGCAATAGAAACTTTACATCCCATCTGGATTGGATTGTGTATAGGTGAGCCCAGGAAAGGAAAGTAAATTTAAATATAACACTGATTTAGGACCTCTCTATGCTTGATAAAAATGGAAATAATATGAAGGCCTTACCTTTCTATGCCAAAACTAACCCAGCACATAACGATAAAAGCAGAAGGAATATCATTAAAAACACTGTGTAGAGTTGAAATGCAATTAAATCTCAGTGAACTTAAGCTTCTTTATCAATGAAGATTTTCATTCAAAACTTAAACTCTAAAAATTTTGGGGGTTTCATCTGCTGGTTTAAACCATAAATAATTACCCCAAGTCACAACATGTATGGCATTTACTGTGGAACCACAACAAATACAGAACATAGTCGCTAATGCCATTAAAGCTTGAAAATCTAATGAGCATAAAATTTAAAGAACCAAATTTCTATGCTGACACTTCTTCTGGTTTGAACAATATGTAAAAACTATATGTCTGCCATGAGAATACTGAGAACAGTGGAATTTCTGAAACCTGAACAGCAACTAAATGCTTTTAAACTGTAGAAAACATAAAAACTTTACAATTGCTCACTCTTGGTTGCTTTGCAATAAGAACCATGTGTGACTTGTAGGTTTAGATTTTCATAAACACTTCCTTCTGCACTGATTGACTTTGGTTTTAAGCACCAGTTGGCTAGATGTTCTGGAAAAGTCAGAAATACGTTTAGAAAGATATGCAGCAACAGCTCTGCTCTTGTCTTTTATGAGCAAATAGAGCTTCCTCTATGAGTATCTGAGTGTTCATATTCACGTCCAGCTACTCAGAGGAACTTTCAAGTTACAAATGAAAAGTGTTGATTGAGAGAGATTAGGAGTGTGCATGTCTGTTGGCTGACTGACTGTATGTCTATCGCTACTGTCGTCAGACCTCTGTGTACCTTAGCAGTGGGTCTAGGTTGCCACCTAACACTGTTAACTGTCACATGACTAATGGGATTCAGTAGATCAGCCACAGCAAAGAGAACATTCCAGTTCTGCTGCTTACAGCTTCTTTAGCCTAAAGCAGGGGTGGGCAAACTTTTTGACTCGAGGGCCACAATGGGTTCTTAAACTGGACCGGAGGGCTGGAACAAAAGCATGGATGGAGTGTTTGTGTGAACTAATATAAATTCAAAGTAAACATCATTACATAAAAGGGTACGGTCTTTTTTTTTTTTTTTTTTAGTTTTATTCATTTCAAACGGGCCGGATCTGGCCCGCGGGCCATAGTTTGCCCACAGCTGGCCTAAAGGCTCTGCTCAAGCCCGTGCCTCTCACCACATTCCAATGTGATAGAT